AACACTTATAACACTTTATGTAGAAAACACAAAAAAAATTAGAAATTTTTCAAAGTGTTCTGATTCGTTATAAAGGGGAATATTGAGAGTGATAATTGAAAATATTTCATTGAAATTTTCATCCCATAAAAGAAAAAAAATATTTATAATTCTGTATTAAAAAGAAAATATATTTCCCTAATAATTAAACCTTTTTATTCTCTTATACTACGAAAGAGCACTGGGGGGTTGGAAACCGTGCTCTCTGAATTAAGAAGATCGGTCGATGACTTAAACAGCACCACAGGAATATTGTCATTTAGATGTTTAACGTGAATCTAGTTTCTTGCGTATTCGCATAGGGAGCCCTATTTTAAGGCTCCTAATTTGTTTATGTCCCGCAATGGACTGATCGTAAAGACCTGGTTCCCAGTAGAACACCGAAGTCAAGCATCACTAGCTGCGGGCAGTAAGCGGATGGGTGACCACTTTGATCAGTCTGCGTTGGGACCGATGGTGAGCGAAGTCGGTCTACGTTAAATTGTTCTACCGTAAAGTGTTCGATTTCGGGGGCAGGTGGTCGGACTACCAAAGCAGGGGAGCCATCCCTACTGCAGAGGATCAAAATTGCGATGCCATGTCTTCGGATCATTCTCGGGGATGTTTCCCAGACTTTCACCAATAGCTCGTTCAGCAGCTCTAGTGCGACGTAAACAACTACCAAATTTGTTTATAGTTTTACTGCATGGTGTGGTAGTTTAGTACATTATAACAACACATCTGAGCAATTTCTGAAATTATAGGTTGTTATTAAGCGCAGATATAGACCATTGTTTGTATTTAGATTATAAACTATATTCTTCTATTATGAAATGAATGTTGACCTGACACTTAAGTCCCCTTGTGCTCCAACTAATCCATAAACGGGATTTTGTGGTTTGGTTTCGTCTTTAAGTATATTGAAATAATAAATTGGGGTAAAATTGAAAATTATAGGTTAATATAAAAGCAAAAGACAGATCTTATTGTATATGCAGAGAAGAAAAAAAAATTGAAATTTTTTGATGGATCCGGATAATAATTGATCTTTTTATTCATTTATACTGTAAACAAGCACCACATGATACGAACCCGTACTCTTAGGACTGGTGGCTTCAAATAATATCACAAGACCATGGTCATCTGACTGCTTAACGAGATTTAAGCTTCTTATTAATTTTGGCTTATTTGCCTAGAGCGCAACCAATTATGACCCATTGTGCGTCCACAATTTTGTATATAATTTTTCGGTTCCGTGTTCTAGCTTAGTTCGTTATAACAAAATAACTGACCAAGGGGGCCTCCCTGTATCACAAGGCAAACACTGTGCAAATGCTGGAGGTAGCGGGTTCGAATACCACTATTACTCTGGATGTATCATCTTCGGCTGTCCTTATCTATATTGTGCTACCTGTCCCTCTATTTGAGAAAGGATTATAAGCCTAAATTGAGCACACAAGCCTGTAAATGTATGTAATTCCAATAAATCAATAAACTGACCAAGTTTCGAATTTAGAGGATATAATTAAAAAAAGATGGAGGCCATTATATATATATATATATATATATATATATATATATAAATATATATATATATATATATATATATATATATATATATATATATATATATATATATATATATATATATATATATATATATATATATATATATATATATATATATATATATATATATATATATATATATATATATATATATATATATATATATATATATATATATATATATATATATATATATATATATATATATATATATATATATATATATATATATATATATATATATATATATATATATATATATATATATATATATATATATATATATATATATATATATATATATATATATATATATATATATATATATATATATATATATATATATATATATATATATATATATATATATATATATATATATATATATATATATATATATATATATATATATATATATATATATATATATATATATATATATATATATATATATATATATATATATATATATATATATATATATATATATATATATATATATATATATATATATATATATATATATATATATATATATATATATATATATATATATATATATATATATATATATATATATATATATATATATATATATATATATATATATATATANTTTAGAAGATTTGTAATTAATAAGCATTAATTAAATAATCCGACAATATTTTGAAAGTCCAAAACCGAAACTAACGGTAAGTCGAACTTCCGATATGTCGAAGTTTTTCGTCAGTCCTATCAGATTCGAGTTATCGCGAATTCACTGTATATATATATATATATATATATATATAATTTTTTTTAAGTATCCCTACACTTTCTTTAAGAAAGTGAACATTGAGAGTGACATTATAAAGTATTTTATTAAAATTATGATACTTTTAATAAAGAAAGAAAAAAGGTTTTTTTAATTCTGCAATAAAAAGAAAAATAAAGAGAAAATAATTAACCTCACAATTCGTCTGTAATTTTATGGCTTTGTGACGTAGTTTACTTCGTCATAAAAATATATCTGACCAAGTTTTAAAATGATGGGTTAATATTAAGGGATGATTGCTAAAACATAAGCTATATACTTTAATTATAAAGGAAGTACTGAAATTATAATCAAGCCCCCTTGTGCCCAAACTAATACGTGTATAATTTTGCATTTTGGCTTCGTGTATAATTATATGGAAATAAAAAACAATTAAGTTTGAATATTATAGATTAATAGAAAAGCAAAACATAGGTCTTAACGTATAAGCAAAGAACACCCAAAAAATGACTGATACTATATTTAGGTCCCTGGCACCCAAACTAATTTGTAAATAATTTTACAGCTTTGCCTCGTATTTATGGAGCCAAGTTTGAAAATTAAAGATAACGCAAAATAAAGGCCTTAACGCATCTACAGAAATCACACATAGACAGACACACACATTTTTTTAAAATGGAGATTGGTATTACAATTGAGCTCCCTGTGCTTCAAATAATTTGTTTATAATATTGCGGCTTGGCTTCCTGTTTGGTACAAGTTCCATATTGGGTACAAGTCCAAAAATTTACGGTTAATAAAAAAGCAAAATATATTTCTCTATGTACATGCATAAAACTCTTAAAAAAAGAAGATTGATAATACAATTAGGCCGCTTGTGCCTCAAGTTTTTGGTCAAAAGTTTTGTGGCGTGGCCTCGTGTTTAAGTACACTGAAATAATAAATGTGGCCAAGTTTGAAAATTATAGGTTAATATAAAAGCAAAATATAGGCTTTAGATATTTGCTGAAAACGCAAAAAAATTTAGAAATCTTCTAAAGTCCCGGCGCTTTCTATTTAAAGAGGGATATCGAGAGCGATGATTTAAAGTATTTTATTAAAATTTCTTATTCTGTAAAAGAAAAAAAAAAGATTTTTAATTTTGTAATAAAAAGGAAATATATTTTGCTTGTAATTAAGTTTTAGATTCACATAGCCCACGAAAGGGTTTCTCGGGATTCGAAACCAACGGTCTTGGGTTTACAATACTGGTGGTTTTATGCGTATCATGGTCATATGGTTGTTTAATGGCAATAAAGCTTTTATAAGTTATTTCTACGCAATTGCGTATAGTGCGCATAGCATTAGACCCGATTCCCGAATAATAGATTAATTTAGAAGCAGAATATTGAACTTTAGTATATGCAGTAATTACAAGATACCTTTGAAGATTTCCCATAGTGTGTCGACGCTTTCTTTAAAAAGGTGAATATTGTGAGCGATATTTTAAAGTATTTTATTAAAATTATGACACTGTAAACGAAAAAGAAATTTAATTCAGCAATAAAAATAAAAGGAGAATAATAATTTCCTTTTTTTTAACATATACTAACAACAGACTGGAGTTTTCTTGTCTTCTGGGTTGTTCAAAATTACAAGGCTACGGAGTTGAACATTAGTAGTCGTAAACCCAAAATTAGGTCGGTTGCTCAATGACGGTTATAAAATAAAATAAAATGTTCAACTAGAACCGTGGTGGCCCAGGAGATAGAATGCTCGTCTTCAAATGAGGTGAACCAGGTTCGAATCCCAGCAATGGCTGGTTGATACAAATTCACACCCGGCACGCACCGACCACAGTGCTGACGTAAAATATCCGTAGTCGTAGACGGATCATGGGTTAGAGTTCACTGACCGTGAGGCTAACCATGGAAGTTTCCATTTCTACGTAACTCAAGTCTGGGTTAGTTATATATATATATATATAAAAGTCCTCCTCTAAGGCAAATTTCTCCTAATACTTGATATAGGAGTTCCCTTCTCTTCTAGATTGGGTTCAAAATTACAAGGCTACGGAGTTGAACTTTGGTAGTCGTATAACATATAATTGGGTTGACTGTTCAATGATGGTTATAAAATAGAAAATGTTCAACTCCATAGCTTTGTAATTTAGAACACTGCTCAGAAAACAAAGGAAAGGAAACTATTCTGAGAGGAGGCCTTTTTAATGGAAGTAGTCGATACATGTAAAGAAAAACCACGAAAGCTTGTTGGAAAAGGGATTCTGACCCATGGTCCGTCTACCACTGAGGATATTTAATTTCAACACTGTGGTTGATGCAAGCCGGGAGCAAAATTTGCATCGACCAGTCATCGCCGGGATTTGAACCTATCTCCCCGCATTGGGAGGCAAGTACTCTATCTCGTTAACTACCGAGACTATTAAGAGAAGATTGTAGTGCCTCTACCGCGGAGTGATATAATTATCCAATTCATTCTTTATTCTCATTAAAAAATGTTCCAATTCATTAGTCCCATTTGCAATTTGACAAATAGGCAACTGTACTAGTCCGCTGAGCTAAGCAGTCAGTATATAGATTTAAACTATTTATTTAACTATTCTTTTCTGTATTTTAAAGGCTAATGTTTTGTGCAAAATAGATAACAACAGAAATGAAAATCAGCAAATAATAAAACAATTTATTAATAAATCTATTCGAAATATTAATACATTGAAGTTTGCCAACATCAATGCAGTTTAAACAGTTGCATCTTATATCATCCAGTAACTAAAGCAGATGGAAATTTAGTCATATGCGATCGTTTTATTCTTTATGAGTTAGAAATTTGAATGATAATAATGTAATATAATTGCATATAATAGTTGTAATCTCTAATTTGGACTCACTTGGGATTTGAACCGCAACTGGTAACAGAAAACAATTTTTTTTCCTTCTTATTTCTTGTTTTATACACGCTTCTCAATTAAAGTGAAACGAATTACTTTTATGGCAATTTTTATTTGCAATTGCTGTTTCAGCCTTTATAAGAAACGAAAATATTTTGTTTTAAAAATCATCAATTTATTTCGTCGAGGTGTTTAATTCACTTTTTAATGCAAGAGCGTTTGTTTAGTTTCCGATTCAATGGAAACTGTGAATTTTTAAAAACTGAAACGTTAGTGAACGAAACTTGTGAAGGAGCAATTACTAAAATATAAAAGCTTACAAATATGTAATGCAATTCATATTGATTAGTAGTTATTGTTTTCATTATTAACAGTCTTTCCTTTATGATAAAAAGGAAACGAAGTATGATTTAAAAACAAACACAACTATAATACAATGTGTAAAAATAACAAATATCAAAAATATTGTTTTGTATATACTTTAAAAACACAATGATGGAATTATCCATAAAAATTATGATTATCAAAAATTATGATTATCTGATTATGAAAAATTATGCCTGCATCTTGCCTGCTTTAAATGACACAATTTTATTACAAATAATTCAGTCTATTGTCACTGGTGGCTAAATGAATAATAAATACATTTTAAAAAAAAAACTGGGGAAATCCTATAATTATGAAGAAAAAGAAAAAAATTATGATCTAATATGTTTTGCAGGTTCATTTTTTATATAAAATAATTCATTTTACTAAAATTTGCTTGCAATATTCTAGAAGTTGAAGTCCTGTTTGTATAGTTGTTTTTCTTTATTTTAACTTTTCAAATTTTAAATAAAAATTAAGTATTTTATACTTTTTAAAGTATTAAATGCATAACTCTGATTAAAATATGAAGAGTTCATTGATTTGTGAAGAATGGGATATCATTTAACATATCTCTTCAAGCAGTAATTGTTTGTTCGATTTTTATTTTGTCTTTAGCTTCAAAAATATGCATTGAAATCTATTGAAATTTTTTTAATGTTGCTTTTCTAACTTTCAGTTAGTGCCTTAATTTTTTAAAATGGCAAGAAGCTATATTAAGGACACCTCCTTGATTCTTGAGAATAAGCTTTGCGCGATATTCATGTATTCCAATTTGTAATGTACCTATTTCTTCAATGGGTAAACTAGAATCAGGAAGTACGTTTAAATTTCCTTTACTCTTAATTCGTTCCACAAGTTGCTTTATAAGTTTATAATAATACCCTACACTTAACTCAATATTCTCGAAAATTAATTCTGAAACGTATTTGTGCTTGAAGAAATGATGTGCTGCTGCAATTTTGCTCCTGAAATTTGGTAAACTTACGGGGTAAATTCGAAATGCAATTTCAATGTTCTCCATTATCTGTGTGAATTCTCTAACAATGTACACCCGATAAGATGGATCCAGGATACATTCCAAAAAATGTCTTCCATTAAGTATTTCATCATCTGATCTGGTACGCATGACATCATCTGACTGAATTCTTCTATGAACCACGCGTTCAAAGTATGTATCGACGAATTCCCATAAATTAGCAATATCCATGGGTTTTAACCCATGCGTGAAGGAGGTGCAGTTTGATAAAACTTGAATAATCATTTTCAGTATGTGTATATTCAAATCATGGCGTGGGTAGAAATCTGTAATTCTATCGACAATGGAATATAAATGCGTTTTTTCACTGGTTTGGAGTTTATTGGGAGTAATCATTTTCTTGATTTTATTTATAATTCTTTCATTTACCGCACCACAGCGAGTAGAGATCCAACTCAGATCGTTTCTGAAACGGGTGTCCTTTTCTGCGTTCATTTTTAACACAGCAAACTGAGTTTCGATTTTGAATTATGCGAGCTTATCTGATGTATAACCACCTTCGCTATCGTCTGACTCGTCGCACCAATTTTTATTTATTTTGTCCAGTATTTCAATGCTCTTTTTTATTTTTTGATACTCCGAAATTTTAGACTTATTTTTCAAAGATGTATATTTAGCATAGTCATTAAATATAATTTGCAATGCAGATTTTTTTCGCCTTATAGAAGTGTATGATCTACTTCTATGCGTACGAAAAACACCTCTAATATAAAGTTCGATAGGATCTATTGCATATATCATAAAAGTACCTATTACAGTTTTATCTCTTACAGAAAAATCTGAATGGCTACTACCTATTCGGAATATTAAATTCAAAATTTTTTCAGCCTTGGCGTCACAGGATCGGTTTGTAATACATAGGCCAATTCTTAGTACGTTTAAAAATTCTGTCTCTTTATGGAATGGAGGGTGAGAATTGTATTTACAGTATTTAGGATTTACAGTTATAATGTTTTCTGTTTCCTTTATAACTTTTTGCAAATGTTCTCTCAAATCGCATCTTTTAAACTGATAAACAGATGATTTTAACTGATATAGCAGACTCGATAAAGCTTCAATAAAAGACTGGCTATTTTGTTCAGAAACTTTCAATAAATCCAAAAGTTTTTTTCCTGTGCCACTCTTAGAAAGTCCAAGAAAGTTCTTTAGCCATATCTGATCTCCAAATGTTACTTTTTCAATGTCTGTATCAGAAAATACGTCACTGTGATCTGCTAGCCGTTCTAGGGTTTCAGAAGTTTTTACATTTGTTGAACTCTTTAAGAACTCGCTAAGATCAGTATAAGAAGTTTGTCGTTTTGGATTTTTCAAAGCTTTTTCGTAGATGGCATTTTTATAAAAATCATCAGTAGGAAATGATTGACGCTTTACTATTTTAGCAGTTTTTTTTCTTATGGCATGTTTATAAGAAACATCGGTAGGATCAGTTAGCAGCTTTGGATTATCCAGAGACTCTTTCTCTGAGGATTTCTCAGAAAAATCATCAGTTTGTAAATTTCGGTGTGTTAGAAGATCATCCCAAGTCTTTATATCTAGGGAATAAGCAACCACGCCAGTAAGATCGCTTTCTTGCTGTTTTAAATTAGCCGAAAGCCGTTTTTCTATGAGATTCTTAGAAAAATCATCAGTAGGTAATGTTTGGCATTTTAGATCATCCCAACCTACGCAACCATGAGCAACTACGCGAGTAAGGTCGGCTTCTTGCTGTTTTAGATTATCCGAAATCCGTTTTTCTATGACATATTTAGAGAAGGCCTTGTTATGATCAAACAGCAACTTTAGATTATCCAAAAGGTTTCCAGCATCGGTATTCGGTTTTCCAAAGGAATTTGGAAATATAGGCTGTTGTGATTTAAGAAACTCTTTAAAGCTTATTAACAAGTTGAGGAAACGAACAACGTCGCTTATGACTTTGATTTCTCGCAAACTTCCTTTCAACTCGACGTGTAGTTTCGACATAACAGAGAAGAGAAAGATACCTGGAAAAAAATGTAATTTAATAAGTCAAGATTGCACCCAGTAAGTGTGCTGAAATTAAAATCGTAACATTTCATTTTAATGCAGATTATTATGATTAGATTTTTAAAGAAATTCAACTGTAATTAAATCGCGTAATGACGAGGTTTTATTCCTATGAAGCATTTTATAACAGCGCCACCGAACTGTTGATGGAAATTACTATTGAATGCACTAAATGATTTACAATTTGTATTTTTGAGGAAACGGGGAGTTTATAAGTATAAATTATAAAATATATTTTTTGAAAAAAAAAAAGAACATTAATAAATGAAAAAGTTTAAGTTTGACAGTTTTTCATTTATTAGGCAATGAACAACTGTTGTGCTGATTAATTTAATACAATATTCTGCTGAAAGTAGTATCAGTAGTACTTTATTTACATTGCACTTAATCTGCACAATGGGCAATTGGTAACGACCTCGAGGATAATCCAAAACATGCTATCTCAATTTGGATCCTTTTACTTAACGTTGTTTCTCGGAGAGGTAACAACTGTTTTCGAATACTATTTTTTTTAGTGTTGTGAATTCGTAATAGTTATTTACAGCTGTTTTTCCTATTGGAAAAAATTCCCAGTACAAAAAATTTTATACCGGCTTATGAAACACCGGTTCCGGTATGATACTGGATCCAGTATAATACCAGTCCCATACCGGAAAAGGTGTTTCATAAACCGGTATCAAATTGATCCCAGTATGATACTGGAACCAGTATCATACCGGAACCGGTGTTTCATAAACCAGTATCAAATTGATCCCAGTATCATACCGGAACCAGTGTTTCATAAACCAGTATCAAATTAATCCCAGTATGATACTGGAACCAGTATCATACCGGAACCGGTGTTTCATAAGCTGGTATAAAATTTATTCCAGTACGATATCGAACCCAGTATCACTAGTGTACTGCACCCAGTAAACTGGGATGATGTAACAATTTATTTTTAATACAAGTATAGTGAGGTACTACAGTTTGATACAAGAAGGTTAGTGAACTGCACTGAATGGGAAAATAAAACATTGATACGAGTAAATAAATAAAGCTACCTGGTTTATACAGGGAAATAAAACATCCCCTATGAAACATCAATTCACACTTTGTCAAAAGCTATAGTTTGCATTAGGTTAATAAAAATCAAATAAACTGTTTTTTTTTTTTTTTAAACTTCTACACAGTTACGACACAAAAAATGTTTTGCAGCTACATGCAGAAAAGTGTAAATGCATTCTTCAGATTTTATGAAAATTGATTGGGGATTAGAAATATTATGTAATGAATAGCCAAAAACTGACTAAAATAAGTCAAAATCTTAATTTTTATATCCTTTGAAATTACAAATTTGAATGATAAATTTTGTTAAATAAACCTCGGAAATATTTGACAAATGCAAATTCATATGCACAATAAGGAGACCGTGTGAAGTGTATATATCTATAAATATAAACATAAACAATCTAATTATAAAATTATGATTTCATATAAATCAATTAACTTTGGTTTATATTTGTAATTGATAAATAAAATTGAATGCAAATAACACATATAATATATAATGTTCGAAATGCCGCAAAAAATATTTGAAATGAATCTAATTTGACACTGTTCATTTACTTTGAAATCAGGCATTGTAAAATATAATTATATAGTTATGTTACATTTTGATCAATGTACTTGCTTGCTACTATAGATTTAAATACAAACCATTTTAATTTTAGATATATTTGATATTTAAATTATAGTCAACTTTAATCATTCAAACATAATAGTGGTTAGAGTAGTAATTATAGCTACAAATGAAAGCTTAAATGACACAAGTTATTAACTAATATAAATAAAAATTTTGAATTATTTTACTCTGTCATTCTTCTATTGACATTTTTCTTAAGATTCCTTGATTTAAAGCACAATTTGATACAGTCATTTTCTATTTGAAGTATTTAATTTTTATGATAATTTACTTAACGCATAATATCTGAAAATTAAATTAGGAAAAAAAAGTTATCGCCTACAAAAATTTAATCTCAAGAGCGAATTATTTATATAACGACACATGTTCATAAATAATAAAATAAGCCCTAAATTTTAGAAAGCTTTTCTTATCTCAGAATTGTTGTGAACTCAACAAGTAATAATTAATATATATATTGAATAAAAACACACAACACAATATTAAAAATTTTAAACATTGGATATGACATAATTAAAACTCTGTCCTCAATAAGATATAAGAATTACACAATTACTAAATTGATATAAAAACATTACCACAATAGCCTAAAAAATGTTATTCTTTTTATTATCAAATGAAATGAATTGTAGTTTCAATAATGTGAAGTGGCTTAAAAGCTCAATTTTCAAGTGTCTGATGTCTAGCTGGTGGTTTTCTGGATCCCTCAGACGTTTCTTTAATGTAATGAACTATCTTTCTAGCTTCATCAAATAAGAGCCAGCAGCAATGTCTCCATTTAGAGTTCCTAATATAAACAAATTTTGAATAAACAGAAAGTTCAGACTAAACAGCAATTTCAAAAAATCTCATTTTTAATATTGTATGCTTTTTCTTTTAATATTATGCTTTACCCTTTTATACTAAATTTCAGATTACAGTGCTAATTTAATTAAGTTAATATTTCAGATTGCAGTGTTAATTCCATAAGACATTTTTGGCATTTGTATACTTTTTCCTAACTATTAAATTGACAGCAAGAATTATTAAACGAATACAAATAGTAAAGAATTTTTACAAGCTTTAAACTTTTCTTACATCATGTTAGTAAATAAATAGGCAACGAAAAATGCTAAAAATGTCAGTCAAAGTTATATTAACTGAAAGCTTAATTGTGTTAAGTTTTTCATATGATAATGATAAATTTTACCATTACACAAATAGGATGCATATATTTTTCAGCTGATATAAACTGATTGAAATTAGAAAAGCATTATACTTTTAAAAAAAAATAAATAATAGTATTTATATTAATAGGGTACTGTACTACATTTACTCCAAATTTTAATTAACTTTTATGCTTTTTAAAAACTCAAAAACTAGCTGTTACAGGTGTAAATAACTTAGACAAAGATCCAGAATGCACAAAAAACAGATTTCATACAATTCAAATTATATGCGATTCTTACAAAAATTCAAATAACATATGTGCGTGTATAAATAATGTTACGAATATTCAGGAACTGTTCAATCATACATTTAAAAAAAAAAATCTATTGTGTAGTGTAACACACACAACACATACAAGAAATTAGACTCAATATTTAACCTAATAATTCAGTTATTGAAACATTATACCATACTTTTGTTCAAAATAAGTATAACATATATTGCAAACAAAATTAAGAAGTATTAATTTGCCAGATGAGAATTAATTTGATACTAAAAGGTTGCAGAAAATTAAAAAAAAATAAGTACTAAAATTTCGAACACTGTATGATGTTAATTTAAAGATTAGCTATTGAAGCGCACAGACTGTAAATAAATAGAAGATTTTAAAAAATTTATTTATATTACAAATAAACAATTATCCAAATTATATAGACAAATTTATACAGTAAAACAAATTTTCAGAATAATTATTAAGTATGAGAAATACAATTGCAAATACTTATTTTTCAACCACCTACATCATACAGTGTTATATTTGTAATTGATTCCAATCAATTACAAATATACTCAAATTATCAACTGTCCAATTTAAACGTAGATCAAATTATAAAATTCAAGATTTGAACTGCAAAATTTTCCGCACCCTAGTAAGAAAAAATAATGGTCTACCAAATTTTATTATTTTTGTGTAATTTGAAAGAGATTTATTTCAAATAAAGGGAAGTTAATGTCTAACATAGGTATCGCTCATACTACCCAATTTTGTTGACAACTCAAAAGAAATCACCAGCGCCCACATCACAGAAGCACATTACCAACCAACTTTTCATAGTGACTCTATGCAAAGATTAAAGTATGAATGATCTGAAGTAACTTTTTACCATTTTAATTTCAATATAATAGTTTTTAAACAGTTCAGCTCATAACTTCCTCTAAAGCTTAGCATTTAAATGTATTATTAAGACAAAGAACATTAACGGGTTTAAACAAACAAAACTTGAACGTAAAGTTAAAAATGTAACTATTCAGTGGCTGAACTCAGAAATAAATTTGCATATACTTTTTACATTCATTAAAATTAAGGAAGCATTCAGTTCTATTTATTTGTAACTACGATACGAAAACTTACAAAATTTTTCCACTACTTCAATTTATTAACAAACTGAATATCTTTAAAA